GAAGGGGCGTCAGATGCGCAGGGGATTTGCTGCGACGGGCGTTGGCTAGGGTTTAGGGTTTAGGGTTTGGGGACTGGCTTCAGGGCTAGGGTTTAGGGTTTAGGGTTTACGAGCAAGTGGGTGTCTCCGTCTCCCGTGGCTGCAGCAGCCATGACGAGGGCGCTGGAAGCAGCAGCAGCAGCAGCAGCAGCAGGAAAGGAAGCAGCAAGACTGGCTTTGCTGCAGAGAGACAAGTACTCTTTGAGGCTTAAAAGAGACTGCGCAAAAGTCAGCAGCAGCAGCAGCGGCAGCGGCGCCAGCAGCACAGCAGCAGCAGCAGCAGCAGCAAGAGGCACCCCAGTGCACACCCGGGCCCCCAGGCTGCTGAAGCAGAACTTGGGGGGTCCCCCGGCATTCAGGGGGCCCCCGGGGGCCCCCGGGGGGCCCCCCCTGCTGAGTTGCGGGTTTGCTGCTTCTCCTGGGCCCCGCAGCAGCTGCTGCAGCTGCAGCAGCAGCAGCTGCTGCACCTGCTGCAGCAGCTGCTGCAGCAGCTGCCGCCCCCGGCTCAAACCCAACGCAAGAAGGGGGGCCCCCACTACCTTCGCAGCACTCAGGGGCCCCCCTGGGGGCCCCCCAGCCTTCAGGGTACCCACAGCAGCACTAGCCAGAAAGCGGGGCCCCCGGGGCCCCCAGAGGGCCAGCAGGCCGGGGGGCCCCCCAGGGGCCCCCAGGGGCCCCTCCGGGGGAGGCTGGGGGCCCCCCTTCGGGCCCTGGGGCCCCTTGAAGGGGCCCCAGGGTCTGAAGACCCTCTCGGTAGGCCTCGTGCAACCCGTAAAAGCAAGGGGCCCCTTCTTGGGGCCCCCAGGGGCCCCCTGGGCCCCGGGGGCCCTCGGAGCCCCGGGGGCCCCCCGGGCCCCGAAAGGGTACTGCCAGGGGGGCCCCCAGGCGGAGAGGGGCCCCCCCATGAGAGAGGTACAGCAGCAGGAAGGAGAAGAGGAGATAAGGGAACAGTAGGGCCCCCGAGGGGCCCCCCGGGAGGACCTCAGGGGGTTCTTGGGGGCCCCAGGGTGGGGGCCCCTTGGGGGGGCCCCTGGGGGGCCCCCCAGGGGGCCCCCAAATGGTACTGTGCCCGCTGGGGGCCCCTGGCGGGCTTCTGCGGGGAAGCAAAAGTAGAAGAAAGTGAAATGCAACAAAAGAAGAAATAAAACATTAAATCCAATTCTTGGGGGGCCCCCCAAGAGGGGGGCCCCCCTAGGGGGGGCCCCGGGGGCCCCCGGGGGACCCCCGACTCGGGGGGCCCCCCTGCCCCGCTGGCC